ATAACCCCTATATACTATAGTAGTTTCCAAAGTTAGCAACATGCAAGGCATTAGATTCAATCAATGCTGCCGCTGTGATGCTATCTCGGGCAGTGCGGACGTAACATGCCAACTGGCTTTCTAAGAGCGTTGCTTGCTGCCGTCGACGCGGGAGCCTTTCACGGATCCATGATCCATGCCAGCACATGCTTCAAGCTTGCTTTGAAGAAGCTTCACAGTAATGTAGATCCATGATTAATAAAGATTAATAAGCCCCTCATTGTAAGGGCCTTAATATATCTTAATCTTAGGATGTTTCATAATCGATCTACTGATCAGGGGTCTGGGTTATGCGCTCCACCTGCTGATGCTGCATCAACCCAGAAGCTGACCAAATGATTCTGTACTATTATTACTATTGATATTCCTTTAGGTACTACAATACTTATTACTATTGTTACTATTATTGCTATTAGTATTACTACTACTACTACTACTACGACTACTACTACTACTACTACTACTGTCAGAGTCTTGAGCACATCTACTCGGCATTGGGATGATATTAGGGTTATATTGGGGTTATATTAGGGTAATATTACATAGGGTTGTATTGGGGTTATTTGGGTATAGTAATGGAACAGCAATCTAAACTTCGATAATGAAGCTGAAACCCGTACCTTATTTCAGCATGGTATCACGCATGTAAGGGGAAGTAGTTCTGAAACAGTCGATAGAGTTTTCGCATGATAGCAAACCACGCTGCGCCTCAGCACGTTCTGCAGCGACGGCATCAGGCACATCGCCTGAATCTTAGTTTGCTGTCTGAAGCCGAGGTGCAAGTCTTGTCTCATTAAATAAGTTGACTCAATTGTCTCAAGCCAATCCCTTCGCTAGAGGTTGAGAACTGTCCCTGCATCATCACTTCCCCAATCCCTAAAGCCGGCTTTAAGCGTAAGTTGAGCAGGACTCTGCGTTCACCAGGCATCAGGAGGACAAAGGACGCTTCTGCTACATCCTGACTGCACATTAGCAGTACTGCATACAAAGTTGCCAATACCCAGTGGTAAGCATACAGCATATCTGTGATTATCATAATTTGTTATAAGGTAGTAGTTTCCATTTTCTTTTCCATTATCCCAATGTACCCCCAATATACACCCGCATGCTGCTATATTACCCCTATATTTCGTTTGTTAGTCTCAGCTTTGCCCCGATTTTTGTCAGACCTCAGCCTGGGCCTCAATATGCGCGCTAGGTCCTCCTGACTGTTGCATGGTGCGAACGCTAACCTCGCGGAGAATGATTCTGCAACACGACGACTCGCTGGGGTGGCCCCTGAAACCCTTTAAAAAATATTGGTATATAGGGTCCCTTATTAAAGCCATTAAGGAAAATATTAAATATCCCGGGGGCCTACCCAGCTCCATAAAGAAAATCTGGCATGCAAGTTCAGTGAGCGCGGATAAACAGATCACATGACCATATGTCAAATGTAGACGGAAAAGCTCCTCGCGCTGACATCATGCAGATGCCAGAATCTTTGGGTTCGGCCAAAGCCTGGGGGCCCAAGGAAACCTGCCCAAGAGGCCACCAAAGATGCAATTTTAAAAGGCATGTGGGCTCGCAAGCCGTGAAGTGACACATACAGAAATGTTTGCGCTGGGCCATGACGCGCGGATCAGAGGAATCCTGCACTCTTGCGCTGGAAGGACATGATCGTTCCATAATGTTGGGAGGTTCTTCTGAGCGCTACGTCATGCTGGCAGCAAATCGGCCAGCTCAGAGTGGAGTCTAACATTCAACTCTCGGTAGCTTAGAGCTGTACTGTTAGTAATATTACTACTATAATATCTTAATCGGAGTAGTGTTACTATTACTATTATATACTATTATTACTAATAATATGATGGTGTATGCCAGCAGGTGATGGCAAGCTCATCCTCTCTGAGCCGCGGGTCCTACGTCTCCGGCGTGAATCAGAACCAGAAAAGGCAATCAAACGCTGCGCTGCGCTTGAATTACGTATGATCTCATGTCTGGTATGTCTGCTTGAAAGCGAAACCTTGTAAAGTCCTAGATGAACCTGCCACGGTTGTTGCAGATGGTTTCGATTGGGTAGGTATTAGGATCAGCTTGACCGCAAGGAGTTGTGGAAGCCTCATGGATAGAAAGAACTTCTTGAGCACTTACAACGCAGGAGTTTGCAAATAACAGGAGGGGTGTACAGCACGAGCTATTGATGGTGCGTAAAGATTCCCATTTGGCGCATCGCTAGTCTGACGTTATTGCAGAAATGCTGGAGGCCTTGGTGCACAACCGGAGAAAACAACAAGATCGCGCGTGAGATTCTCACCTCGGAAAAGTATTTCAACATATGCACGCTTTAAGCGTCACAAGCAAATGATGTTCTTGGTTGGGCACTGTTGCCATGGTAGAATCTCACGTCAAAGTTCGAACAGTCTCACGCTGCCACCTCTACCGGATGTCAGCCACATGGTAGTCGGAGTTGTGCTCCTTGCACGTCACCTGAACTTATATTGCCATTCCAAACCTACCTCCTGTTTAAACATCTCAGGAATAATCACCTCCGCCTAATGAAAAAACCATTAGTTTGTTATATTACGTATTCATGAAATACCGGAATGGGAATGTTTGATACTAGCGGGTGGGCGGTCTTAATGTTTTGGGAAGCCTCTCCCCCTAAGATAAAACCTCCCCACCCCGCCACCTAATGTCAAATATACCCAATTGTGGTACATTATCCCAATATATTAGAAATATCATTTCCCACAGTGAGGATTATTTAGTATTACTGTTGATGGATGAAATCTTGCACCACCTAGGGGCCCTAAACTACTGTAATTCCTAGGACTTTGGGGACTTAAGGGGGTGCAAGATTTCCTACATCAACAGTAGGGGGGGGGGGTGTTGAATATTTAGGGGAAGGGGGTTACAGCGAGAAGCATGCCACCGGGCCTGCCCATCAGCTTGAACAGAAAGCTCCGTCACAGACGCATTTTTCAGCCTGACCGCGGTTTAAGGGTTTAGGGCCTTGAAGGTTTAGGGTTGGGGTTTAGGGTTTAGGATTGGGGTTTGGGGTTTAGGGCCATTAGGGTCTAGTGGGATCTTCCTGTATCTACACCACAAGGAGGAAACGCGGAAAGGCGAAACATGCCGGGGAGCTTGTATTTCGGATCCCCATATGTCCAACTGGTAGACGTGCCATGAAGCAGCAGCTGGAGTAGCAAATCGCCAAGTGTCTGATGCAAAACTAATATCCTCAGACTGGGCAGTGAACAGGGTTTAGGGTTGGGAATATATTGGGATAATGGAAAAGAAAATGGACTACTATAGTATATACGGGTTCTATTGGGATAATGGAAAGGAAAATGGAAACTACTGTTTAAATGGGACAGCTTTCCCAGATGACTTGCTCAAGTTGTAAGACTTGTAAGCCTTGAGGATCACAAATGCAGTCGACATACCATCTGCACTTATGACCGCCGAAACTGTCGCCAGAAGTTGTTAACAAATAGCAACTTGTACATGTTATGTGAGAGAGGTAGGCCTCTGTTTGGCGCGCGATTCTACATAAACAAATGCTCTTAAGCGCACAACAATCATTGTCCCAGCAGCACCACAGGGCTGTTGGTGCTGCTCCCCCTCATAGCTTCCTCAAGCTGCGGCTGGAGCCACTCGACGATTCCTAGGCATTTTGTTTTTCGATGTCTCCAGGCATTCGCCCAGATTGGGACTAGGGCCTGGCGAGGGGTTTCTCAAGCTCCTTAAGCTCCCTGTCCATGACAGCACAGTCAAACAAATGCTGTAGCGGTGTGCCGCTCGTTTCCATCTACCTTCCCACAAGCATGCCTCATAAAAATCAAACCCTAGCACAGAACTTCTCTCAGCGTCGTCTGGCACGCTGAACACCTGAGATCATGCGAAGTTCGGATCTGCACGCTAGCGCTAGCACTTAGCACCAGCGTTAGATTTGCAGACATCTATATCTCCCGCGCATTGCATGCCTCAAGTGGAAGCTGTTGCAACCCTATACTGATGGTGCCGACTTGCCCACAATGACTGTTCAACTCAGAAGTTCATCAAGACGTCAGCCATAGCAGTGCGAACACAAGCACCGCCGCCACTGCATACTTCTGGGGATCTACAATGCCCTTACAGGACGAGCAGCAGCCTTAGCAAACATTCTTGAAGCCAAAGCAAGAAAGTGTCAGGATGGCCATGGTGACTACGATGACGGGCTTGTCTGGCTTAGCCGGCTGTCTGAAGCCCTACACCCAGTGATTGGAAGGACCCCACTCTACAGCAACGAACTCAATAGATAATAATACAAATAAGAATAACATTCCTGGCAGTCATAACAGTAAAAATGATAGTAAGAATAATAGGAATAGTACTAGTAATAGTACTAGTAATAGTAATAGTAACAATAAAAATTCCAATATTTAATAAACCATAATAGACCCAATGTCTTCATGACATGGCTCCCTACACACTGCCGGGTCACACTCTGCCGAGGTTTCCTTATCATTGGAACCAGTGTAGTCCCAGAAGCTCTGCGAGTTAAAGCCTGAAGCGCAGATTTCCTTTTTCAGTCATGGGGTTATGTAGGGATAATGGAACGTAAATGGAAACTACTATCTCCCGCGCATGCCCTCCCGCCAATCCAAGATGTGCTGCCACCCATCGCGATTTACTAGGGCAGGCTAGTGCTGGCTGCTTGGCACATGTTGCCTCGTACTACAATGTACAATAATATGCTATAATATGTTATAATATGCTACAATATACAATAAAATACCATTACATAAAATCAAGCAAAGCTTGTTTTTTGTCATCCTGCTTGCCGCACCAGGAGGTCGCTTCAGGTCATCTTGACAAGTGCGCCCCGCTGCAAGAATCTTTTCGACTAAACATCCGCGCTGAATGTTAGGCTACTTCCTTACTGAAATGCACTCCTCAATCTATTTGGCAACATTCAGATGAGCGAAGCTCATCCTTCATGATAGCCACATTCTTGCTTTCAGCTCCAACATGTTGTGGTCCGACGTCACAACCCGTTTGGCGGCAGGACCTGTGCGCAAGCTCCAAGTCAAAGCTCATCTGAAGCGCGCACACAATCGGAAGACAATTGTGCCACTGCTTTTCAGTGTAACTTTGGGTTCCTCATATCTTAGCTTGCGCACACAACGCTGCCTGCAGTATGCCTAATTTGGTAGTTACCCAAAATAGAGGACCCCAATATAGACCCCAAAACACTATAATCCTCAAAATACGGATTCCCCCTTGGGAAACCCTAAACCCTACATAGTAGTTATGTAACCCTTATATACACCACGATGCACTATATAATCCTATGCAATCCCTATATAAGCCGTATAATCCCTATATCCCATGATATAAACCCCTTGATCCAAACAGGTAGCTGCAAAAGACGAGGGTGGAAACGGCTCAGTTATCTATGCGACCACTGTACAAAAAGCTCAACTTATGGGTCGGTCTCAAAATTAAGGGTGCTATCTTGGGGTTCCCCACAATCAGGATTATAGTGCGTTGAAGTGATTATATTTAGGGAAATTACCATAGGGGTTGTTCCCAAAGTTAGGGGCCCCTTTTGGTTCTAGATTATACGTATTTCTGCACCTACTATTTACGGGGTACCAAAATGAGACCCTAATTTTGGGAACTGCCCGTTTGAATCTTGAAGGTGCAAGCGGCCTAGGACTTCCCACGCTGAGTCCATGCTGAGCGTTGTGATGTTGTTGCTCCAGTAGATCTGGTCGCATTGCGAAGGCAGCCGGGTGACCTTTGTCCATTGACAGAATCAGCACACAAAAATTTGCAACAGCCAGCTGTGGGAGAACACAAATAAGTGGCACAGCGCAATATGAATAGGGAAGCAGAAAACCTGATCGTCCTTCTCTGTCCTGCGTAGCCAGCCAGAATTGCGGCCATGCCACGCTTGCTGCGGCTTTGTCACCCTGATCAACATTTACTGGTTCTGGGCAGGGAATAGGGGAATGGAATCCCTATGAACTTCCAATATAACATGTTCCCTTCTTCCCTACTAAGAACCAGTAAGCTGACCAACAGCTCGTGGGAACGCTGTTAGTAGGGAATCAAGGAATATATTATGTAGGGATAGTATAGGGATACCCGAAAACTACTATTTAGCGTTTAGGGTTTAGGGTTGGGATCTATAGGGATTATGGAACAGAACGTGGAAACCACTACGTGATAATAGGTTTTTTTTGTATGAATACACAGGGATGGCATCCCTCCCTCTTTGTTGCCCACCATTTGGCTTAAAATCAAATACTTACCGGTGGTTAGTAATAAAAAGAGCACATATCATACAGGAAATATGCGGGAATTGTATTCCCTAAGCTCTAAACCCTAAACCCTATATGCCCTTCGCCCCTAGTGACCACCAGTAAGATTAATGTAGACCCCTTATTATTCATAAAATCCCTCCCCTTCATAGGGATTATCATAGGGATCCTAGTGCTAACTAAGGCCCTTAAAAGGAGGAGGTTTTATTAATCATGGGTCCCAAAACCCTACACCCTAAATGGTAGTTTCCATTTTCTTTTCCATTATCCCTATATAACCCCAATGTAACCCCTATATAACCTCCATAATCTCTATAGTTTCCATTTTCGTTTCCATTATCCCTATATAACCCCTCTATAACCCCAATGAATGGTCTACATTATATTGCCACCTTGAGCAGGTCGAAGCCCTCCTTCTTGAACTGATCCCACTTTTTGCCTCACGAGTCTCACATGCAATCCTACATACTATAGTGGCTTCCATTTTCTTTTCCATTATCCTTATACAGCCCCTATATATCCACTTTCCCAAAAAATCCAAGCAATATAGAAATAACTGTTCATGATCGTCATCCTGAATTGGAGCTTGCCTACTATGACCACCAAAAAGGAAACAGTAGCCGAGAGCCCATGAACCTATATGTAGACCGCGCACCGTCGTCACCACAACCGAGGACATGCGCAAGGCAGCGTCAACATGTGAGTGACGGCATGTTCTTGTAGCATGAAGGATGTCTGACAGCTCGCAAGCATTTTCATGGCCTCTTCTACGGCTGAAGTGCAGGCAAGACTACCATCGGAGAGGAATTCCTCTGAAGACAATGCTGATGTGTTTGCATAGCTCTTCTTGCCGAGGTTTGCCAAGGGAACCTGGGCCCAAACATCAGGGATGCCAATTGTTCAATTCTGGGCCGCTTTTTGGTTAGGAGTTGTACCACGGGACTTCATATTTGGTGTACCAAGATGGGACCTTTTTTTGGCAAATACCCGCGTGTTACAAGCCGAGCATGCCCGTTATAAAGCAACCAGGACAGGTGGCTCATCTCAACAATCTTACGTTTGGTTAGCTAGGAGTGAAGGAATGGATCCTTACAGTAGTCTGTATATAACCCATCATAGTAATTTCCATTTTCTTTTCCATTCCTGCTAAACCCTAAACCCAATATAGTCGTTTCCATGTTCTTTTCCATTCCTTCATTCCCAGCTAACAACACAAAGGTAAGCAATCTGACGCTGGAGGTCTGGATCCTTGCTGCCCTAGGTACGGTCTCACAGTGAGGCCGATAAGTGGACTCGCGAAATCTGCATGTTGGCGGACGCCGCCTTGGGCAAAGCCAAAAACTCAGCGGCTATCACCAAGGCGAGTTTCACTAACACAGAGAGGGGCATACTACCGAAACCCATGTTGGGACTCTTGTGGTGACTCCTGACGTGAATCTGTGCCCCTCCACATACAAATTGGAATGGCAGCGACATGTTGATACCAAAATGCTCTGTCTTGATGGCTGCATCGACGGAACAGCAACCCCATAAGATGGAGCAAAAACACAACCTGCGAATACAGCTTGGCTCAAGTCTGCGAACGGAAGGCGAACTTGGGAGTGGGAAGCAGTTGCGCCTACCTGAATGCTGCGGTTTGCCTGGGCCCTAGCTGAAGACAAAGAAAGTGTTTTGCATGCAAGGTGCCGGAAAGTGTAGAAGTGACTGTACAGCGGATAGAACCCTCCGAGCGTTTGCAGAAACCTGCGATTCGCAAAGTGCATGCAGCATTTTTTTTAATGCAAGAAGCAAACAGTTACATAGCTACATGAAGACCTAAAGGTGTGCCTCATGGAGTCTGAATTTCGCAGGGCGACGTAAGCCACTCGGGTCTCCTGCCACTCACAACACCACAAGCAACAATTGGGGTTTGGGATTTAGGGAATCAGCTGGTCATCCCACTGATGCCTTTACTAATGTAGGTCCTAGCCGAGGGGTAGATGAGAGGTAGAAGAGCTGGCTTAGCAATATCGGTTAAAAGTGCTAGTACAAGTACCAATAAAAATAACAGTTACAGTCATAGCACTAACAATAACAATGATAACAATAACTATAAAGAGGAGTAATAGCAATAACAATGATGACAATGAATATCGTAAGAAATACTAAGAACCATAAACAAATAACAGTAATGACAATAGCAATTACAATAACACTAGACATGCTACTGGTAATCATAGCAATAGCAACAGAAATAACAAAAAAAAATAATAATCATATTACATGATGTGTCTGCAAAGCCCTTCCTTGCGTGCACCGCTAGCCCCTTCCTCGTATGCGATGTCGGGTTGCATTGGACTCCTTCTCACATAGCTGTACCGCATCGTCCCATCTACCATGTGAATTACCTGGCTATCGCAAGAAAGATTTGAGCTATAGTCTTAACTCCTAGTATCCCCCTTAATAATCCCTATAGTAGTCCCCTATATAATCCCCTATATAACCCCCCTTTAAGGAGTTTAGACTAAAGCTCATTTGATCAAGCTTCTGAGTTGAAAGATGGTGCATGTCGCCACTTTCTACTAACCCTAGAAGCCCAGATACCTATATATTGGGTTCCTGTCCTTAAGACTCTATATAATTTTATACTATCTGTAACCCAAGGACCTACTATATGGGTACCTGGGCTTCTAGGGTAAGCTGGTTGGAGAGGTTTAAGGGATGGAATGCCAGGGCACTGGTCCAGAGTATAGCAAACCCTCGAAATTGGAAAACTTCGCAAGCTCGTCAAAGGGGACCATGCGGAAGTTCCAATCTCCTTGGCATCCAGGGCGTCTCTCAGGACCCTGGCTAGGGTTTAGGGTTTAGGGTTTAGGGTCTCCCAGGACCCTGGCATCTAAGACTTTGGCTACTCACCGAAGCGTGTTGCTAGGCATAGCTTGGATGGACAGCTTTGGCTTTATCATCGACATATGGTAGTTCCCCAAAAGAGGGGAACCCCAATTTAGACCCCCAAATACTATAATCCTTATTCTTGGGACCCCCAAAAGGGTACACTATACCCCAAAAGGAGGATATAATCTTACTCTAGATTGGGTACCATAATATCCCCAAAGTAAATACTACTCATATCTACGAAACAGCCTCTGTGGAGGCCAACCACGTCATCCATGTCAACCCAAGGAACAGGAGCAACTAGGGTTTAGGGTTTAGGGTGTTTTCTCAGTTGAGTCTCGTCAACATGCACTGGCAAGCATGAAGAAAGTCATGTGAGCTAGAGTCTAAACTCCTAGTATCCCCTTTAATAACCCCTATAGTAGTCCCCTATGCAGTCCCTTACATAACCCCCTTTAAGCAGTTTAGACTGCAGCTTAAGTGATGGAAGGCTCCGGTCATGAAGGTGGGCATGGAAAACTTGTCGCTGACAACTTCGACCGCATCCATGGCTTGCTGCAGCTCCTGCTGGACCCCTGAATGCTAGAAGTTATAACTTGCAAGTGGGGTTATACTGGAATAACGGAAAATACAATCAAACCACTACAGTATTTAGTGTATGTGGTTTATAATCTAAGGTCTAGGGTCTAGGGTTCGGGGCAGGCGACAATCAAACAGCCGCACACAAATGATTTATAATTTCTGCATGCCAGGTGGTCAAGCGCATGGACATTGGTTCCGTTCCGTTTTTTCTCTCTCCGTATTATGATATATAGTAGTTGCCATTTCCTTTTTCCATTACCCCAAAATAACCCCAATATATACCCTATCATGATATGGTAGTTTCCATTTTATGTTTCATCATCCCAATATAACCCCAATATAACCCCTATAAACCCCTTTAAGGGGATCCCTAATATACTATAGTAGTTTCCATTTTCTTTTCCATTATCCCTACAAAGCCCCCATAAGCCCTAGATTATCCCCTAATTATACAGGGGTTTAGGGTTTGCCATGCTGGAAGTAGTCCCTGTGCCCAGATCGCGGAAGCCCCGCTCCTCAGAGCGCGCCGACAGCCGGAACATGTCCTGCCATCAAAGTCAGAGTAATGGAACCTTCCAAGGGGTTTAGGGATCCCTTTAAAGGGGTTTATAGGGGTTCTATTGGGGTGATATTAGGATAATGGAATGTAGAATGCAAACTACTACAATATATTAGGGGTCCCTTTGAAGGGGTTTGTAGTGGCTCTATTGGGGTTGTATTGGGATAATGGACAATAAAATGGAAACTACTATAGTATAATGGGGTATATATTGGGGTTCTAGAATGGATCCCTAGGCTAGTCCCTGCAAAGCCCCTAATAGACTCTATAGTAGTTCCCATAACCACCATTGGCACCAGCTTGGGAAAACCTACTTGTGGGGCGGGGGGTGTGTGTGTTGTTAGCTGCAGGCGGCAATTGCGGCAACCCAACACCGCAACCTAGTGTTATGTTTCAACTCTGCTGTGACTTACTTACCAGCACGCCTGCAACCGTCAACCCGGGCCCCTTCCGATGATAGCACAGCCAGCAGACCTAAATTGCTGTAGCTGCAGTTTATGGTTTTCCTTGTTTTCCTAGTGAGGCTGCATTGCCCGATTCCTGAAAGTCTCATTTCGATACTTTTCCCATTCCGCTCATCCTCCTTGCATTCCTCCTGTGCACCTGTAGCCATACTGTTCACCATCAAAATTCTGTCGATGACAAACCTCGCGGTCCTACGGCATCTTGTGCCTTGAGCCTTCTGCTGGCATCGTGCTCAGCAGAAAGAGTGACATGCTTTGGGCGTGAGTCTGGTACTAATCGGTGAGCAGGCAAGGCGTAACTCCAAATTTGTCAGCTGCTCTCTAGAAAACAGCACAATGACCAAGATTCACCAGCTATGCCCACAACATGAGTGCGCGCGATGCTGCCTCTGCAGAGGGAATCTTTCCGAAGTGCGACGTGCTCACCACGAAGTCGGCTACATGCGTAGAGCCGGTCGCCATGTAGGCAACTCCTCAAGCACTCGCAAGAAGGGCTTCTGTGGCACGTTGCTGCGAACTTTGGCCTCTGTCTGATTGTGACGTGACTGCAAGCACGAGGCAGGGTCCAGTGCTGCCAGGAGGCGATAGCGAGTAATCAGCGTGGCCTTGGCTGCCAAACCAGGTACCTTCTCTTCCTTAGATGCTTCCGGACATTTCAGGACTTCAGGACAGAAAAGCACCACAACGGAAGCAATGCAGCGTTTCGGCAAGCAGTGTTGGCGGCGTGTCAGGCAAGCGACGTGCCGCGCAGCCACCTCAGCAGCACTGGCAGCACAAATCACTTGTGAGAAATTTGTTCCTAAATGCTTTGAACATGTCTTTGCACAAATTGGAGCAACCTTGCTTGCTAATTAAGTAAAAACTTTAGCTGTTGACTTAACCTATAACGCAGACAACCGTTTTCGCAAGTCCTTAATGTCATGCTATGATCCAATTCCTAACCCAAGTATGGTAAACATGCCGGAAGCCTCTAAGCCATGTTGTTGTGGCTTTCGGCGTAGAGCGCTGTATCCGGCAGCGCGGCTATCACTATCCTGCTCCTAAACCCTACACCCTAAACCCCTAAACCCTAAACCAATAACCTGAGATTCTGGCCCCATGGCATCTTTGAGAAGCCTTGAGAAATCCGAGGTCCTTGGCATAGGGGTTATAGAGGTTATAAAGGGATAGTATAGGGTCTATAGGGGTTATAAAAGGGAAATATAGGGTTTATAGGAGTCTTAGAGGGATAACATAGGGTTTGTAGGCGTAATATAAGGTTCATAAGGGTTCTAGGGGTTATAAAGTATAAAGGGGAAATAGAAGGTTTACAGTGGTTAGCTATAAAGGGATGATATAGGGTTTATAGGGGATATAAAGGGATAATATGGGGTTTATAGGGGAGAATACAGGTTTATAGGGGTTATAAAGGGGAAATATAGGGTTTTTAGGGGCTATAGAGGGATAACATAGGGTTCGTAGGGGTAATATAAGGTTCACACGGGTTCTACGGGTTATAAAGGTATAAAGGGAGAATATAAGGTTTACAGTGGTTATAAAGGGATAATATAGGGTCTCTAGGGATTATAAAGGGATATTTTAAGGTTTATAGAGGTTATAAAGGGGAAATATGAGGTGTTTAGGGGTTATAGAAGGATAACATACAGTTCATAAGGGTAATGTAGGGTTCATAGGGGTCCTAGGGGTTATAAAATGCTAATAATGGGTTCATAGGGGTCATAAAGGGATAATATAAGGTTTATGGAGGTTAAAGGGGAAATACGAGGTGTTTAGGGGTTATAGAGGGATAACATACAGTTTAAGAGGGTCATGTAGGGTTTATAGGGGTCCTAGGGGTTATAAAGTGATAATATAGGGTTCATAGGGGTCATAAAGGGATAATATAAGGTTTATAGAGGTTATAAAGGGGAAATATAGGCTTTATAGGACGGATGATATAGGGTTTAAAAGGCTTATGTAGGGATAATGGAAAAGAAAATAGAATCTACTATATTATATAAGGTTATATATGGAGTTGGAGTTTCATTGTAGGAACACTTGGTGGGTCCATAGTGTGAAGCGTTGATTCATGGAGACCCTGAGACTGGCAGAACCTCCACTAAGCCTCTCGCTGAGCCGTCTTGCTCCTCATCATGCATCACGCCTGCAGCACGTCAGAAGCACATCAGGCCATGGGTGGTTGTGAGTCATGGAAGCCCATGGACATAAAATACGCTGCGCTCTCGCACCCTGCCTCCCCACCAGGACGCAGGCAGCTTTTCTGCTGCGTTTGCACCCCCGCACGCTTCAGCATACCTTGCTATGAGATCTGATGAGACCATCACAGGCCAGGCAGAATTAACGGATCACATCTAGCTTAGACCGTCGCACGTACTCTCACAATATTGCTCTCAGTTGGGTAGTTCCCGAAATTAGGGACCCATCTTGGTACCCCTGAATATCAGGTACCGCAATATAATCCATACTCGAAAGGGGCCCATACTTTTGAGAACAATCCATATCCCGATATACAAATATATATATATACATATTTACATGTGTATACCCTTATATAGCCACTGTATACCCTTTATAAAATCCCTATATAACCCTTACGTTTTTAGTATCCAGTTCAGCATCGCCAGTGGGGCGGCCTGAATAAACCCTGAGATCATGTCCATCCCTATCTCTGACAGGAGCCAGTCTAAACTCCTAGTGTCCCTCTTGATAACCCATATAAAATAGGGTTTAATTTAAACTCCTAGTATCCCCATTAATAGCCCATATAAGATAAGGTTAGGGTGTAGAGTTTAGGTTCTAAACTCCTAGTATCCCCTTTAATAACCCATATAAGATATAAAGCTCACCATATAATCCCCTATACACATCCCCTTTAAGGAGTGTAGACTACAGCTGATATAGCACTTGTCGTGAACCGCCAGAGGGGAGTGAAGTTTCTCCAGCTCATCCTGCCTTCAGAAGCGCAGAAGGCATCTGATAAAGGCAACTTTGCTACTGGAAGCTGGATAAGGACAGGACGTGAAGTACAAAGTCCTGCAAGCAGGATGGCATTGCACGCTGCAAGGGCGGAGTCACCCGACCCCATCTAGCATCCTGCTCAGAAGCAGTCCTGACACCAAGAATATCGCCGTCCATTGGCATCTGGCAAGTGGATTTCGGGTGATTTCTCAAGTGCTGATGACCTGCATGACTTTCAGTAATTATGCTACTAGGATGCCGATACGAGCAAAGATGAGGGAGCTCAGCGGATTTCGAAAGGTTTTGTCTCTCAACGGCTTTCCATGCAACGCAACTCTTGCAGGCTAACTTCGATCCTGCCACGCAATCGCACTTTTGCCCCCTTGAAACACAGCACGCCTGCCCAATCTCTGAACATAATAGGGAAACAGCAGCTGCTACAGGTAGTTCTTCTGTACTAGTAGTAATAATTGCAATAATCTTATTAAATAATAACATTAATAGCAGTATACTACTGGTAAAAAAAGAATAATCGTTTCTGCGCCCAAGGCCTGTGGGGATTCAACACTTTGAGAAATCCTTTCTTTCCTTACCAAAATGGCAGTTTCCCAAAATGGGGGGAACTTAATGAAAACCCCAAAACACTGTAGTCCTTCTAGTAGGGCCCCCCAAAATGGAACCCCTCATTTTGGGAAAACCCTAAATGCTCAGCTTGTACCGCACGCATGATAGGGCATGATAGGGCATGCGCTGCAGCATGCTTGAAAGCTTGTTCAGCCAAAACTCCCCATAGAACCCAGGTGTGTGCGGGCGTGTGCACAGAGATATACTGACTTGCTGTAAGCCAAGTCCTCAAGCTTCAAGCCCTCAATATCGGAAACTTGAATGCATCAAAACGCCTAGTATCTCCCTTAGTAACCCAGAGGGTAGCCCCTAATATAATCTCCTATATAATCCTCTTTAAGGAGTTTAGGCTATAGCTCTAAATAAGCCTTTGCCCTGGCCTAAACGGTGACATCACATCTCAAGGCAAAGGAGCAAGCCTCTCTAACAGCCACGTAGTCTGCAATGAAAAGGAAGGAGAAAAGGGCGAAGTCACATGCGACGGGGAGGAAATGGTGCCTCATGCAACTCGAGCTCACAAAACATGCTCATCCGCGAGTGCAAGTGGGGGGTACCTAAAATTAGGGGTACCCTTTTGGGGGTCCCTATAATAATGACTATAGTATTTTGGGTTCTATATTGGGGTCCCCCTATTTTGGGAAACTACCAAATACTGGCAAGCCTCCAAACACTACGGCTGCAGAAACTGATTTGCACGAGATGCTCCTCCATGCATAGGTGGCGAGTTCTGACAACTCTCCTTAGTTTGGGTCCGCGGCCAGTCAATCTTTCCGTGTGCGCTTGCACGTCGCGGCAGCTTAGACAAACATGGAAGTTGCCTTCAGCCAGTACATGAAAATAGCAGCAATAACAGTACAGTAATACTAGCAGTAATAAGAATAAGAATGAGTGTGCTAACAGTAATCATAACAAAAACACTTGCAATAATATCAATAATAAGTATCATAATAATAACGACAGCAATAACAGGAATAATATAACAGTAATGTAATGACAGAAATGAAGGTCATAACAAAATGGTAGTACTAGGAATACGAGCAATAAAACAGTTATAAGAACAAGTAATAACAGCAATGGCGATAATCATAATAACAATAACAAGAATAACAGTAATTCTAGTAATACTTGTGATAAACAGTATTTAAGTTACAGTGTCTGTAATATTAGTAGTACTACCTGTAGTAATGATATCTGTTATTATAATAACAATAAAAAAAAGTAATTAACGATAAACAACAAGAATACCACCAAACCCTAAATCCTAATAGTCATCTGTCGCATCCGGGCGTCCAACCTGGAAACGGCCTGACGAGGAAAGTCTTCTCGCTTGGGGCTTCCTGGACCGAGGCGGGGATTTCCCAACATGTAGGGATTTGTGCGGGTTGGGGTTTCCGAGAATGGGAGGCTTCCTTTGGGGATTACAATATTTCTGGCCCCATATGGGAAACTAGCAGGTAGAGATACTTGGACTGACTTTGTCCGCCTTTCCCTCCAATCGTAACTCTGCAGCCAACAGCCGGATCTAACGTCACTTTTGCGGATGCAGTGGCGCCTGAAAGTTGACGGACACAAGCTTCACGCTTTCATTTTGCGCCCTCGTCAGTATGGCGTCCACGATTTCTGTGATGCCTTCACGATTCTCTGGTTTCCCTTAGTTCAAGATTTGCCTGAAGCAGTGCAAATCCAAACGCCACCAGCTTCAAAGAGACATCTGGGGATTGTCGCTCTCGAGGAAGAATGTATACAAACAGCTGACTCAGTCCCTTCGTGCTGTCACAGCACCAAGATTTCCAAGGTTGAAGGTGTAGACCCAGATGTTCAGGCCTGTCCTCTGGCCTCAGCTTGTGGTTCCAAGGTTGCAAGCTACACCCGCAAGCCTAAACCCTAAACCCTATCCCATGCCCTGCCTGCCATCATGAGCTTATGAATGCCCCATCTGCCCTCCCCACGGCGGATCATGTGACCATGCAGGAACTGATGAACTAGTTAACTAGTTGGTACTATAAGTTGGTACAGTTGTAATTGAAATAATGGAAAAGAAAATGGAAACTACTATAATTAGGCCAGTGGCTTAACGCTGTTTGAGCAGAAACTTCACGCTCAGGGCCTGCCCTGATGGCGCTTGCCATCCGCAGCCAGAGTATCAACAAGACAGCCTTCGAGAAGGCCATGATACTCCTCAGGGCCCGTGGCTCAGTGGTACACGAGCAAAAGATGCAAAGAAGGTTTAGTGACTCCTAGTGCAAAGGCCAGGAGGTTGCAGTCTCCCTCTGACAACAGGTTACCACGACCTGCCAAAGCCCACGCTAAGGCTCACTCTCAGTCCTCGCGCAGGCGGACATCTTCGCTGGCTGGTGGGACCATGTAGCTGTTGCGCAGCGTGCAGCCGCTGGCTAGAGGAGAGATTGGCTCGGATGTCTTTGGTTGGCAGTTTGAAAAGAATAGTGTGAGGCATGTCGTGTAATTCACTGCAGAAGCTTGTCGCATGAAAGGTGGGAAGGATCTTGCAAACGCACGCTCGGGCCAAAAGCAATCGGAATGTGGTTTGGTGATTCCAAGCGCCCTGGTTCCTTGTTCTGGAACCACTAGCAGATGATGTTAAATGTGCTGCTCAGGCGGTAGCCCATGAAGCGGAAGTTCGGAAATCGATCTTCCTGAGATGTCGAGGAAGCGTCTAGGTTGGACCCCGCTAAAAATAATGAAGGACCTGTCATCGGCCAAAGCCAGCTTTTGTCCATGCAACTTCCTGATTTCATCTGCAAAACAGTAGCCTCCTTGCTAAACCTGTCTGCGCCGCTTGTAAATCAAAGCACTGAATCAAGCGCACACGAGAAATCGATTACAACGACCATGACCAGGACTAACAGAATCTAACAGACCTTCAGGAAGCTGGTCAGGAAACAGCACTGCGCCCAGGTGCAATCTCCTCTGCAGGGGTGCCTGACGGAAGGGTTGGAACACTGACTGGGTTGCTGTTAAGGAACTTAATTTAAGTTACTATATTGGGGGAACCATATTAATTACTATATATACCCCTTATGGCAACTTAAATTAAGTTCCTTAACAGCAACCCAGCTGACGGGTCTTGAGTGAATCACGACGGGTTGGCATCCAGACATGGACCCTCAGTCATTATGGGGACTATATTGGGGTGATATAGGGATAATGGAAAAGAAAATGGAAACTACTACATTATAGTAGGGTATATATACCCCATATTCTATCTACTTAAGGGGGACTATAACCCCCACTATATACCCTATTATAATGTAGTAGTTTCCATTTTCTTGTCCATTATCCCTATATCACCCCAATATCGTCCCTATAATCCCTATATGTATACACCCTAGACCATTCACTCCAACTCTACTTCTTGTGGCAGGTTGCTGTTGATGCTCAGCTGCAATCCCTGCAAGGACTGACTGGAAGTGGGTTTAGGGTTTAGGGCGCATTCAAGACAAGTTCTTGGGCAATGATGCAATCATGTTGGAAATCCTACGCCTTAAGCCTTGAACCCTAAACCCTGAACCGGGTAAGTAGCAAGCCATTTCTGGCGGATGTAGCCATGGCACCCTTGAAGGAAAGCCCTGCGCAGCCATGCTCGTAACAGGCACCTCAGTGGACTGTGCTACACAAGTGCGAAAGAACTTGACTTGCGCTGCTATCAAAAACCTATCAGCAAGATCCTCAAACTAGGACGGACTTGGGACTGGCATGTTTACTGTTGAACTACAGAAGTGCAGCTTCTGCAGATGCTCTGATGGCCAGGTGATGACTCTTCCAATGCTGCCCCGCAACCATGACAAATGCACTTGCTGCGCGGCAGGTCCAAGGCATCCATGGTCTGCGGCAGAGGCATCAGGAGCCACAGTGAAGGGTTTGCTAATGGCCCTTTGGATATATTGGGATAATGGAAAAGAAAATGGAAACTACATGAATTTAGGGGTTATATGGGGTATATAGCGGTTACACAGGGTTCTCCCAGCTCCAACCAGAAAACTCCCACTGCTCATCTGCTGGGATTGGATTCCGATTCAGTGGCTTGTATACGACATGTCCAGCACATAGCTTTCATACGAGACTTGCAAGAGTGCAGCAGGAGGGGCTTCACCCTAAACCCTAAACCCTGGCTGTAAGGCAGGTTGCTGGCTTGATGGTCTCTAGGCACCGCAGCATGGGACTGCACCAGATCTGCACATCGCCAGCGGCCGCTACCTCGTTGGAGTTAGGATTCGTTAATTATAGGGTATATGTAGGTGTGATATAGGGATAATGGAAAAGAAAATGGAAACTACGATAATGGGGTGATATAAGATTTTTTGTGCATACACAGCTGGCCGTCGATGTGTAGGATGGAATTTTTCAGCAGCCATGTTCAATAGTGTTGAGCATGCATGAAGGCCGCGGTTCGCACGGGTACTGGATGATCCGTAGCCGCACAAACCGAAATCGCAAGAAGCGAAGTCAACAACCAAGAAATCTTAAATGTACAGCCGCATCTCACCTAACCGATTCTACAAGTGACCGAAACCACGCACCCTGTCGCACCGTAGCTTTCA